CTTGGAACAGATAGGAAAGCTAAAAAAAAATCGTATAAGATAATAATTCCCAATTATCTAGTAATTGAAAGATATAGGACTTATCTTGCAAAATATTTCATTAAGGGCAAAATAGTCCTTTAATTAAAGACAATTTTATATTATTAAAAACTTATGTGAGTATTCTGTTTTTAAGCCTGATTTTAACTCTGGCTATGTAGCATTGTCCTTTGAAATAACAGATATATAAGGTATTAACTTATTATAAAAACAAAAATAAAGAATTAATTAATTCAATGTGTTATTCTCAAATGTTAAAAATTCTTTATTATTAACTCATAAAACCTTTATATAATCCTACTAAATAAGAATTGTATACATTTTATACAACATTAATTATCCACTTAACATTGTAGAAATGTAACAATATAATTAATTGAATAAATTTTGTATACATAAATAAATTTATTTTATTGACTTCAAAAAAATATAATAGAAAAAATATACTACCTTACTGATATTCTTACCAGGAATTGCATATAAAATTAAAGCCTTAAAAATTATTGGGAGAATTAGATGGTTAGTTCGATGTTAAGTCCATGTTTGGTACCTATTTAAATTTAGATTTTAATCTAAGTTAAAGTCGACAATTAATTTTAACCACATATTTAATGGGGTCCTACTCGACAATTAATTTTAACCACATATTTAATGGGTCCTACAACTTTTTAACCACACATTTTATCAAATTTTATCAAATCTACTGAAAATTTGATTTTAATCCACGGGGGCTAAATCATCTTTACAATGGGAGAATTTTCAAAATTTAGTATCGAATTATTTATAATTTTAAATCAAAATAATATTAACGGATAGCTTAAATTGTATTTCAAATGTCAAAATATATATTAAATATTTGATTTAACGCTAAGCCACTGTTTGACAATAATTATTTTCAAATTTCTTTTTTCTATATACTCATTTTCAATCTCATATCCACATAATAAAATATTTTACATATAAACTCAAAACTTTTTTTATTTTTTAATATACGTTCTTTTAAAAATCACTATTCAAATCATCGTTTTACAAAACAATGGTTGTGAAGCAGGGGCTAAATCTACATATTTCATGAGTTTGTTGACTCATAAGATCACAAAAAAGTCATTGAAACCAACCACCACAATGGAAATATCTTTGAATTTATGAAATTGACTCAACATCAACCACCACTACCTCATAATAATAATTCGCATACTAATAATTGGGTTGGGGGGAGGGGGGGTGAGATCCCTTGTAATTCACTAGAACTTTGATTACTTTTATTAGTAAATAATAAGATGTCATTTGTTAACAAAAGTTGATAGAATGATATTATTGAACAATAATAAAATAGCAACAATTCTCAACTCATTGAGAGGTGCATAAATGTTAAAAAAAATGATTTGGGAAGGTAATGATTTACAGGATCCCATAAAGTTTTGACTCCTCAATATGTCAGACTCTTGTTAATATTTTGTTAACAAGAGTTTATGTAGCGAGTGAGATGTCAAAACTCTAATTAAGAATAAAGGAACGACTCATGATAGTTGAAGAATGTGAAGAAGTCAATTTGGGATAGTGACATACGAAGGGTCATTCCTCGGTCCTTGCTAACTAATGGAAAACGTCAATTATTAACAAGAACTCATCTACTAAGCTATCAAGATTTTAGTGAAGAAGATTAAATGAACAAAACACATCGACTAGTTGATCGTGCATAAATGCTAAATATGTGATTTGGGAGAGGGACACAAAAGGGTTGAGATCTTCCATTTTCCACAAATACCAACACATTATTTGTTAATGGGTAGTTATATTGACACCACAATTTTTTATTTTTTTATACCATATTTACTTACAGTTAAGTTCATAAATCTTTGCTCCGTGTAGTAATTATTTCCTTAATTTTTCGTTGATTTCTTATAATCAACCTTCCATTAATTAGCACAGATCTTCCTTTATGATAGTTTTATGTTAAAATATTTAGTTTCCATGCTTTGAAATGAGGGAAAAATACTTTTAAAAAAAATTAATATGATTGGAAAATAAGTTGTTATACGCTATTTCAATGATTTTTTTGAATATATAAACTGTTATCAAATGCAAAATATAATAACTAATGAAAAGTTTGATGATAAGAATGTTATGATAAATTATTAGGGATATAAATACTATAATAAGTAAAAATTGAGAATTTTAAATGTAATTAAAATATAGTGAAAAAAACAAAAATTGTCTGAACTTTTGAATATAGCTAGCTGTCAAAATTTTAGCGTACAAAAATAAAAGAATGACAGTTTAAGACTTTGAATTTGGTGATATTAGTGATAACCATGTTGGAATTGACATCAATAGTTTGGCCTCAAATGCATCTGTGCCTGCCAAGTATTTTGTTGAAGGAAATTCAACAGGGAAAGAGCTCCGTCTCAAAAGTGGTATGAGAATTCGGGCCTGGATTGAATATGTTTCGACTAAACAACAACTGTCAACTGGATGTGACTCTCTCAATTTCTTCATCAAAACCGAGTCCTTCAGTTCTTTCATTTCCTGTGGATCTTTCACCAATTCTCATTGACTACGTGTATGTGGGCTTTTCTGCTTCGACCGGTCTACTTGCCAGTTCTCACTATATTTTTGGATGGAGTTTCAAGATGAATGGGCAAGCTCAGTCCCTGGATCTGTCTGCCTTCACTTCCTGGACCCAAAAAGAGTCAAATGCCCTTAATTCTAGGTACTACTTTAGCATCTACTGTTTTTATGGTACTTGCAACTGGGATAGCCTTGTACATAATTAAGAAAGTCAAGAATATGGATGTGACTGAGGCTTGGGAGCATGATATTGCCCCACATAAAGTTTCCTACAAGGAGCTCAAGAAAGCCACGAGTGGTTTTAGAGACAAGGAACTACTTGGGTTCGGTGGATTTGGCCGAGTTTACAAAGGAACTTTGCCTAATTCTAATACCCAAGTTGCTGTGAAGAGAATATATCACGATTCCAAGCAGGGTTTACGTGAGTTTGTTTCAGATATTGAAAGCATAGGACGGCTCAGGCATAGAAATTTGGTTCAGTTACTGGGATGGTGCCGCAGAAGAGGTTATCTGTTGCTTGTTTATGACTTTATGCCTAATGGAAGCTTAGATAAGTTCTTATTCGATGAACTGGAAATGATTTTAACTTGGGAACAGAGCTTAAAGATCATCAAATGCGTGGCTTCTGGACTCCTCTATTTACATGAAGAATGGGAACAAACTGTGATTCATAGGGATATAAAAGCAGGCAATGTGCTGTTAGACTCAGAATTAAATGGCAGGCTTGGGGACTTTGGACTTGCAAAGCTATATGAGCATGGTGCAAATCCAAGCACAACAAATGTTGTGGGCACGTTGGGATATTTAGCCCCTGAACTAACTAAGACTGGCAAGCCAGCAATAAGAACAGATGTGTTTGCGTTTGGTGCACTGTTGCTGGAAGTTGTGTGTGGGAGGCGGCCTATTGAGGCAAAAGCATTGCCAGAGGAATTGAATTTGGTGGATTGGGTGGGGGATAAGTGGAAACAAGGGGCAATACTTGAGGTGGTGGATCCAAGACTAAGAGGAGATTATGATGAGTCAGAGGTTATAGTGGTAATAAAGCTGGGATTGATTTGCTTCGACAATAATCCCGACAATAGGCCTACCATGAGTCAGGTGGTTAGGTACTTGCATGGAGAAGTGGCATTGCCACAAGTGTTGGTTGCTCCTGATGAATACAATGTCAGGAAGCTTGACAATGGTGACAGATTGGAGGATTTTGTGCATTCATATCCATCATCATCATACTTTGAGAGGGTAAGTGCAGGGTCCTCAGTTTATGAGGGCGAGGGGGATGTTGATCGTGAAGCTGCTTCATGTAGAGTGGATGGCAGTTGGACGTTGATGAGGTCAAAAACCTCCCCTGCCCCTGGACTTCTCCCCACTGGATCTCAACTCCTGCAAGACAGCACGCAGGCAAGGTGTCGCCCGTGACTTCAATACTTAAGTCAGCAACTGCAGAAGAATAATATATAAACCGTATTAAGAATAGCTGAATATTCATCTCTCTTTGTAGTTTTAGGCAGGGATGTGTTATTTGCATTTCGTAAGGTGCTGTGACTGGGATTGATTAGGATCCATGAGGATTGATTGAAAACCAATACATGCCAATCCTCAGGCTTCAGCATTCTTGGTCCGACCTCATGTCTCTGTCCGTGAGCTAGACTTGAGCTTTCCACTCCTCAACCAGATTTCTCCACACACTGTTTCCTGTCTTCCAGGTTCTAGATTTAGCACAGGTTCCGGCATAAAGGCCTTTGTGTATTCAACTTTATTTGAATATTGTTGATTTTCACTTTCAACTATACTGGTAAAATTGGAATTTTCTGATGATGTTTGTAGATAAATTCTTCTGGAGGCTCAGGTAGCGCAGATACGTAATAGCAGCTGTAGTAATAAACGCAACACTCTGAGAATTATGTTACATTGCATATTGTACTATCCTTTCATCTTGCAATGCATATTGTACTATCCTTTCATCTTGCAATTTCACTATAGTGTTGAGTTTATTACTACTGCTGGTATTGACTGTAACTAATAACGCCTACGACAGTGTGTATGATTTATCTGTAAGAACAAACAGTCAAAACATGAATGCTGCATAGAGCAGAATTTATTTTTTAAGTGCTTATAAGTACTTTGTTTTTGTGTGTTTGGTACAGTGAATTGGAAATGAAGTTAAAACATTGTCACATGCCTTTCTCCTTATCGTGTGAACTTCAACGTATTAAACATGTTCATGTTTTGAATAAGTTTTTTAGTAGCTCATGCATCTTCGAGTTAGAAATACTGCAGAAAAGGTTCTCAATTCTTTCTGCCTTCTCTTAGACTTTATCAAGGACAAAAGAAAATTATCTAAAGAACGCATAATATGCAATTTATTAAAAACCTTTCTTCAGCAGATCTTAAATCATAATGACAAATATTCGTAATCAACATCATCAATAACAAAGTATATTTACATTGTTGTCCAGTCCTCAAACTTTGTTCCAACCAATTACCAATTGTTGGTTAGAACCAGCCTCTAAACATCTTCAGCTTCCTCTGAAAAGAAAATGGGAATTTCATTTGCAAGAATCTATTGACTTGCAATATTTTCTCCGTCATTTTCTTCTTCAACCTTCACCCCATCAAAAATTTCATAATCATCAAATCCTGTTCATTACAGTGAGAAATATATAAGTAACCTCAATATATAACATACGTTGATAATGAATTCTCCGAAAAGACTTACCTCCTCCCAATGCTTCAACATCATCAATTGCTGGTCCTAAGAGGGCGGAAGGTGGATCAACAGCCATCCAGTCTGAATTCTCCGAGCCCCCTGAGATTAATTCTTTGTCCATGATCCAGTCCTCAACAATACTAAAGTTGTCATATGAAATGGGATCCAGAGTTTCCCGTTCTTTGTCACTCAAAACCCTACAAAATAATCAAGAAGAGAACCAATTATATGTTGGTCTTCTTAACCTTTCTGAATGTCAACAACTTTAGAACATGGAAAGGGCTAAATTCTCTACTTACATTTGCCTCAAGGACATGTTGTACTGAACAAAAACAAGGTCACTGAGTCTCTGATGCTCCAAGCAGTTTTTCTTTTCATGCATGCATTCAAGAGGTATTCGAATTGGATTACGCCGAATCAAGCTGCAAGTTTGACTAAGAATGCGGATAGCCAAGCGAGCCAAACTAGGGCATCCCCCACCATACGTTAACCACCACTCAGCTAAGACAATCAAAATGAAAAAGAATAAGCTAATTGCAGAATACAAACATTTATAAGGAATAAACGAGTTTCTAAAATGCCCTAGCATGCATACTATAATATCTTTGTTTATTTTTAGTATTACTGTTGTAGCTTTTCGTATTCATTCCATGCCTGGTTGTGCATGTTTTTAGCTAGAGAAGAAATAAGGTTCACCATTGCTGGTTAATGATAAACTGACCCACCGATTACAGTTAATTTGTCAGTTCAGAAAAAAATAAAATAAAAAATTACAAGGAATTTGTGCAAAGCAGTAGACCTCGTTAACAAACCAACAGATAGAATGTAGGCAAAGGTTCTTAAAAGTTCAAATTGGTGCACATTTCCAATCTCTGGGCATTTCTCTTGTTAAAAATGGCACGTTTCTTCAGCATCAAACATTCCCTAGATATTTCAGTTCTCATCAAATTTTCAGGAGAAACTAACTCAAAAAAGAAAATGTTAATCACACAAGAATTGAGGCTCCCAATTAAATTTGATAACAACGGGAAAAAAAAAATGCCTTTATTTCATGGAAGGACACTCACTGGGAAGTAAAGTGTCCCTAGCTCTGATAGCCATCTTCCGACCAAAGTCTCCTGTACCACCATGATAAGAAGCTGTTTCCTTCACAATTTTGTCCTGAATCTTTGGGTCAGAAACCAATTTCTCTATGCAATCATATACTAGCGACCGAATATGAAGATGCACATCTCCTTCAAGACTGTAAAAAAACTTGGGGTTAAAATAGAAACCTGCGGCATGAAGGGCATGTCGCTGAAGTTGTTCCCACCTGTGATCTATGATATTCCAATAAGTTGAATACTTTTTTTTCTCAACAAGTTCCTTCTTAATTGTTTCTTTCACTCGATATAGTCCTGCATAAATGAACCCCATAGCAGGCCCCTTCTCACTACCAACTATTTTCAGAAGTCGCAAGAGTGGATCAGTTAACCGCACAATTGACACACAGGTGGCCCAGAATGACTGATCACTGATATAGTCTAGTACAGCTAACCCATCAGGTTTCTTTGAGAAAGGGCTCCCCATCCATTCCTCAGAAGTAACCATGGATTGAAGATTGTGTCTGATATCCACCATTCGTTTCAGTGTCATAAAATCTGTAGCCGACCGTGTGATTCCTATATCAACCAAATCAACTCCAAATGTATATCGTCTCATCATGTTCAAAACAACGCTATTAGTGTAGATGTATCTAGAGATCGATTTTGCTTGTTCTAGCTTCATTTTTACCCAATCCAGTTCTTTTATATCTTCAAGCATCAAATCTATGCAATGACCAGCACAAGGAGTCCAAAATACAGAAGGGTAAGTATCAGTCAGTCTTTTCCCAGCTATAACATAACGCTCTTCACTGCTAGTTACCACTTGCATCACATTTCTCACACCAACTTCTTCCACTGTCTCCTTGAGCAATTCATAAAGGGCATCAGTAGAATCTATGATGTGAGATATATCCACAGACCTCAAGAAAATTGTTCCTTCTGGACAATACACCAAAAAGTTCACAAATGTCTTACCCCTTTCCGAATTCCATTCATCTACTAAAACGGAGCAACCACTCCTTCCCCAAGCTTCTATGCAGTGATCAACATCATTCCTCACTTCTTGAACTGAATTCTTCAAAATCCAGTTCCGAATATCATGGTAAGAGGGGCCAGCAACCCCTGGTCCTTGCGACGCAATTGCATCAACCATCGGCTGAAAATAAGCAGAGTTCACAGCATCAAAAGGTATTCCAACATCAAAGAAAAACCTCCCTATTGCCATATGTACTGGACTATTCACCTTCTTCAAGCTCATATTCTGCATATTACTCAAAACAATTGCGTTATGATTGACAGCAGGAGGGGCTTTCCTAACTCTTCCTTTCTTCTTTCTACCACCTACTTTGTTGATCACACCATCTTCTCTATTTACAAGCACATCTGCATTCTGTTCATGCATCTCGGGTACAGGAAGCAAATCGACCTCAGTATTTAAACCAGAATTATGGTTCAACACATCAACCCCACTAGTTTCAGGATTATCAAAATTACCCGACATCTCTTCTGAAAGTTTCTGTTTTTTCCTCTTCTTCACAGCAATCCCATTCAAACTTTCTAGCATTTGGTGCCTAACATCTTGCGGAACTCTCAAACAAGTAGCCGCATTCCCTTTTTGACATGCAAGGTGCTCTTTAATCCTATGAATCCCACCACCCTTAAAAATTTTCCCACAGTATATACACTTGAGCTGAACCCTGTCCCCATTCTTGTACATTTGGCAATGCTTCCAAGCCGGGTCGTGCTTTTGTGAAGTCACAGGCACTGGCTCCATAACTAGAGAAGACATTTTCACATCTATTCTACCTTAAACATATAAAAAACGAAAATTACTTCCTAAATTTCCACTAAATGAGCAAATTATTCCCCAAAACACACGCATATACGTATACACATACTACGAAAATAGCGCACACATCAAAATTTTACAGCATGCGAATTCAAAACATGGGCTTTATAAATCGGGTGAAGAACTTACTTTGGTTTGATTCGAATTAGATTATTTTCCCCTTAAGATTCGAGAATTTGGAGAATGATGAAACCGAGTTAATTGGGGATCGGATTTTGTGTTAAATAGAATGAAAGAGAGTCGAATGACGACCGGAAAATAATATTGAACCATGAGACCCGGTCCAAGGAATTAATATCCAATTTAGCGTGGGTTTATCCGGAGACCCGGTCCAATGAATTAATATCCAATGGCATTATGAAAGAGTAAAATATTGAACCATGATTTATGTTAAATATTAATGAAAATTTGTTGATAAAATATTGAGAATAAATGGATCAATCATCGCTGTTTCAATTGAATATTAACACGTTTAAAATCAGGATGTTGTTGATTTTATATGAAATTTAAAAAAAAAAATCATTAATATTGAAGAATACCAAAGAATTCCAAGTTGTATAAATTTATTTCTCCACCCACTGGACCATGGTTCTTGTTTCTCTAGTACCTTAAATATTGTAAAAATAAATTAAGAAGAAAAGAAATTTTGCAAAAAATGTTTACTTATTCAATTTTTTCCCATAATCTTGTCAACTTTTGTAGCTAGTTGATCCCTAATAGATTGGAAGGATTCCTCTTCCCTAATCTCCAGTTTTTTCTTTCTTACAATTTTTTGAGGAATAGGACACTTGTGAAACAATGGTGCATTAACATTTTTCTGGCGATTTGCATGGTTTTGAATTATAAATCAAAAGACAGTCACTTGTAAATCAAGGGTTTCGACCTTCTTGA